AGAGCAAGCAGGCACTTAAGGCCCAGGATATGTTCCTTTGGTCCCTTGCATCTGTTGCAGTTGGAAGGGGAATACCCTACCTGAGCGGACATGTAGATTCGCTTGCATATTAGTCGGGCATGAGGCCGACGGTTATATCCCAGGGAGCCCTTGGAGGTGAGTATGAGCAGAAGACAGTATCGAACCTTGAGACTAATGCCCTGAGTTCCTTGCAAAACAGAGGCAAGGAGGGACTCCCTAAAGGAGGACGTGTCTGGACTAAGGAGTTCCGAGCCCAGATTGCAGCCGCATTGTCTGGCAAGCCTGTAGGGGTGACCTGCACTTTTTCTAGGGGTTGGAGCGGTTCGCACCCATCTTGTCAAGACGTCAGCCAGCATCTGACTTCGGCTGGCTGTCCTGTGGACTTGTTCAGGGTGCTCTCGAGACTCTTCGCGTCCGTGATGCATACGATCTTGCTTTTCAAGTAGTACAGGCCCAGTGCCGGCACGGTCACGCCGGGGTGGACAATCTCCAGCAAGATGGCCCGTAGGTACTCGGCCGCCTCCACACCGGAAAGGAACCCCTTCGCCTCCGCCGCCAGTGTTGAGCGGCAGACTCGCTTGATACTCCCTGAGTGGGTCTCGATGATGTGGATGGGGACCGTCTCTCCGGTGATGATCTCGGGCACGGTGAAGCCGATGATGTATCCAGCTTGCGACTTCAGGTCGTCCTTATTTGCAAAGCTGCTGTCTGCAAAACAGAACACGGTTGCATTGGCAAGCGTCATCTTCGACTTTTTGAAACACCACCTTGAGTGGGAGGTCTCCTTAAGCATCTTCACGGCCTTATTCAGGTTGACGATGTCCTTCACGAGCGGGTGGCCCATTGATTGTGCTGCCATAGACACATTCACCATGAGGTCAGGCCTCGTTTGCCTGGTGATCCACCCCATCTGCCCTATGAGTCCACGCTCTGACAATGGCGCATTCACCTGCTTTCTGCGGTCCTTGTCCAAGAGAAGGTAGTCGACACTTAGTCGACACCCTCGATGGCGTCGTACTGGTCCAGTGACATGGTACCATCAGCCTGGACCACGTTCTTTCCGCAAAACCTGAAACTGCCACGCTTCACCTTGAGGCGTAGCTCCACGTCCATCTCCGCAATGGCGGCATCATATTTTTCTCCTTCGCCTGCACTGAAGAGGTCGTCGACGTGGGTCACGAGGATGCCCAGGAAGGTGGCCCCATCGAAGAGGTAGAAGAGGGCCGCCTCGATCTTTGACATAACCCACTGATGTTTCGTCTTCCACAGCTTTCGCCACCAAGCTCGCCCAGCGTCCTTTGTACCATATGTGGAACCTCGAGCTCTGAACAGGGCATGGGGAGAGACTCCTGGTGGCGGTGGCAGCATCGCAGGCAGTGATCACCCAATTCATCATTGTTGCTATGGAGCATACGAGGTTGAAGGCAAGTAGCGAAGCCGTTGGCGAATCCGAGCGGATGTCTCGGGGGTCCTCCTGGCAGCCTTGCACGACTATAGGCCCTAGGCGGCTCTTTGCTTCAAAGGGGAACTCCTTCTTGATCTGCTCCATCGTCTTGCCTGTGCGCTTCGCCATGTACGTTGCCAAAAGCCTCGGCTTCTCGTTGTTCCTATTATCTTGACGTCCTTGGGGAGGTCTCTGATCTGTTCCTTTGTGAGCTCCTCGACCGCACTGAACTTTTGCCACCAGCTCCATTCCTTTGCCATCCAGGCTTCCGCGAAGTTGCTGGAGTCGGCCGTAGAGGTAGAAGGCGAAGCGGTAAATCTCGGGCTGCATCACCTGGTTGCTGAGGGCAGAGTGCATCAGACCTGTGCAGAACACAGCTCCTTTCTGCGGAAGAAGCCACAGCCTCAGAGGTGAAGCCCGGGAAGGGGCTCTCTGTACCAGAACACTGCCGTCGCAGGGCAGTGGCACCATCATGTCGGCATTGTCCGGGGCCAGCTCTGGAAATCGCGGAAGCTCAGCCTCACAAGAAAGACACACACCATAGACCCACACTTGCTGTCCTGGCCTTGGAGGTCTGGCACCGGTGCCTGCGTGGGAGAGTACCCTTGGGACTTGGCCAGGGACGCTAGTCACAAAGTCCCGGTCTTTCGGGGCCTTCGTCGGGATCTCCCTGCTGGTCCGGGCCATGGATGATCAGGGTGATCTCCCGCTTCCTGCGCTCCTCTTCGTCTTGTTGCTCCTGACATCGGCGCGAACCTTGGCGATCCTCTGGGCCAGGGCTCTGGAGCGGGCCCGGCTGCCCCAAAGCGTGGTGATCGCGACCTGGACTGGACCAGGAAGCTCCACATGGAAACCGCGTCCTTCCGCCTGCCGACTATCACTGCGCGGCGGCACTCATCCTCCTTGCAGTGAGTGCCCCTTGTGTGGGCAATTCCGCTGCGGTAGTACTTCTTCTCGTCTCCGCCCCGGTAGCTCGAGTGCTCGCACAAGTCGGTGTTCCGAAGGGTCATATAGCTCTCGGCAGAAGACAGAAGCCTCGACGAAGGAGAGGGGGAGGAACCACCAGGAGAGGTGACGAAGTACTGCTCCTCCGCCGCCTCGGGGTACTCGGGGTTCACGTAGAATGCACCCTTCTTCTTCGGCATGGTCTTCTTTTGGCTGCTGACTTTGTGCCCTTTCCTTTGCTCGGGCACTCCGGGTCGCCGCTCCAGTGACCTTTCATGCCGCAGGTTGCGCACGGGGTCACCTGCTTGAGGAACTTGATTGCGTTCTTCTTCGGGTCCTTTTTCCCTTCTCGAAGGCGATCTCCCCCTGGGCCTTGAAGGGATATGCTGAGGAGGGTCCCTTTCCTTGCGGCTGTCCTCTCTTGCTCTTCTTCTGGAAGATGGTGATGGTGGCATATGCCTCCGCAAGCTCGGGGTCCTCTGCGACGTCATAGTCCTGAATCATCGCCTCCAGGGCCGCGTGGTTGTCGAAGCCCTCGGTCTGGTAGGCCTCGTCCTGGTCGTCTTGGCCGTCCGGAGGGTCATCGTAGAGGACCGCGTCGTTCTCGTAGTCGTCTTCCTCCTCCAGCGCAGCACAGGCAAAATGCCTCTTGCTCTTTCCCTTGCCCTTCGGAGCCCTGAGCTGGAGACGGTTGGGGCTCGAAGGTGCGCTCGTCCGGCCACAGCCCAAGTAGTCGCGCCTGTGGACCGGCTTGGTCGCGCTGTTGGGAAACTGGATGCGAAGGGCATGGCCTATCTTCTTGAAGTCATAGTAGTTTCCCACGCTGGCCAAGATAGCCATCTGTTCTCCACGGTCAAGGCCACCGAAGACGAGCAGCATGAGGGCACGCAGGTGGTCCGGAATGGAGCTGCCCGGCAAGACTTCCTCGAGCCTCTTCATATCCTGCTCCCTTCTCACAATGTACTGCTGCATCGTCTCGCCCAAACGCCTGGGCTGTAGAAGGCTCTTTGTCTTCAGCTTGTCGTGCGCAAGCTTTCGCACAGCCTCGTAAGCTGTGCCAGTCAAACCAGCTCTCAAGTGAACTGGGGTGGCCAGCTGGAGCTGATCCGAACCCTCTCTTCCATGGAAGAGATCCCAGGCGCGCTCCTGGTACTCCTCGAAGTGATCAGGTTCTCCACTGTACTGTGGAACTCCATACCTGTCGGTATCCAGCTTGGCCATTGTCGTCGTAGTACAAGCTTGTAGGCGAAGTTGTCGTTGGGCTCAGAAGCCAAGCGCCGGCCGCGGCGGGCGCAAACGGAAAAGTGTTTGCCGGGGCTCACCAAAGAGAACTCGGCAAAGTCGAGGGCGCTTGGCGCAGCACGTGTGAGGTGCTGCTGGGCCTATCCCAGCTCCGCTTACCACGCACATGCACCAGGTAGCACTGGTGAGGCACGGCAGCTTTTTGCCTCTAAACAAGGGCGCCCTGGTTGTAAGCCACAGCGGCGTCAGCAAACTCCTTCAGCCGACCTACCGCTCTCCTACGGTGCTGCTACGGCTGCAGATTCACATTAACTGTTTCTTATCCGGCGCTGTCGCTGTATCTGAACTGTTTGAATTCTTGAAAAGGATCCTGGGCAAAAGGGCGGATGTTTGATGAATTGTCTGAATTAATTAAATTCTCGGGCCTATTTGAGAATTCAGACAATATCAAAAATTCAAATCAGAGAAGCAAGGAATTGACTTTTTTGAAATATTCGAATTTTCGGGTACGTTTGAAACAACCCTATTTTTGCTTTGATTGTTTAAACTGTCTGAATTGTCAACCGGACTCGAGAATTCATTTGCTTCAAATAGTACTTGAATTCTTAAAATGCTTGAATTCTTAAAAGGATCCTGGGCAAAAGGACGGGTGCTTGATTTGAATTGCTTGCATTCTCGGACCTATTTGAGAACCTGGTTTGAATTGTTTGAATTCTCGGTTCCATGTCAGAATTCAATTAATTCAAGTAACTCAATTCCCTGATTTCAATTATTAGAATTATTTGAATTCTCAAGTGGACCCGAGAATTCAAATAATTCACATACCTCATTCCCTGATTTGAAACGTCTGACTTTATTGAATTCTCAAATGGCCCGAGAATTCAAAAATTCAAGAAACATGGATCCTGTGCAAAAAGGACGGGGGTCTGATTTCAAGTGTTGGCATGTTTTGAATTCTCGGGCCTATTTGAGAATTCAAGCAGTTCAATCAATTCAAAAATTTAAGTCAGGGAATCAGGTGTTTGAATTATTTGAATTCTCGGGCCTGCTTGAGAATTCTAATTCAAATAATTCAATTCAGGGAATTGAACTAGTTACTAGTTGAACTGTTTGAATTCTCAAACAGGCGCGAGAATTAAAATAATTCATACAATTCCAATCAGTGAACCAATGATTTGAAGTAATCGAATTGTTTGAATTCTGAAATGGGCCCAAGAATTCAAATAATTCTAAAAATCACGGGCATATGCTTTCATATCTGCTGAGCCAAATGAACCCTAAAGGACCCTCTCCCATAAAGTTGATTATGCACATCACACCAGGCCCTGTCGTTGGGTCATTTGAGCGCCTGCAGGTACTGCGGTGGCCCACCCTGGAATCCAGCGGCGGGATGCAACTCTGATGCTCTGGCAAGATTCACCGCTTCGCCTGCCATGGTGCGCCAACCTGAACCGGGCTCAACCATGCAAACTTGGTTGAACTGAAACCAGCCGGAGTAACTCTGTCTCGCTCATCTCCATCTCTCTGCTACTCCTGCTGCTAAGCGCACTGCGGACCCTAATTACACCCTTTGCGCCCAAGGCGCTACGCCCCTTCCGCAAGTCCCCCGCCTAGAATAACACGACTGACGGAACGCCGTGCGAACGGGTTGAACTACTCGCTGCAACCTTTCTCTTTCTCTCTTCTGTTTGTTGCTCTCTCTCTCTCTCTCTGTCTTTGTGTCATTCTTTCTTTCTTTCGCAAAGGCTATCTCGCTCTTTCTCCCTCTCTGTCCCTCCTTCACCACAGTCCATACAGTCCGCTAGAGCTGAGGACCTCCCGGCGAGTAGTGAAATTTGGCTGACTCCACCAAGGCTCTTTGCCGCCACCAAGCGCCAGTCACCTGGTGCTCCGAAGACACCGTACTCGCGGAACAGGGCGAGGTGCAGGAAGACGGGTAGGTCAGCAAGGAGGTAGAGGTGTTCCGATGGCTGCGCAGAGGCAAAGCGGCCCCAAGGTACCTCAGCCTCAGCCCTAGAGCCCTAGCCCTAGTCGCCCGGGTTGGGGAACCCTTGAGCCAAAATCCAAAGTCTCTCTTCTTCTCCGGGGCCTCCGGGGCCTAGGGAGCTGGTCAGGCTCCCCGCGCCGCTTGGGCCTGGGGGCTTTCTAGGGGAAGTCGAGAAAAGATATATGGTTGAGAGTTTTAAGGGCATAGGGGATCTGTTAAATCCCCCGGGCACTCGCGAACTTCCGAACCTCCTTTCTTCCACTGGGCATAAGGGACTGGTTAGGTCCCTCGGCCACATGGGGCCCCCCACGCGTTGTGGGGCTTGGAGGGGACTGCGATAAGGTCAACTCGGACAGGCCAGGACAGGAATTCGAAGGGATGGTAAACTTGTCCCCCGGTGCAGTTGCAGTTCGTGGACACCCTAGTTGAACACCGTCACACGTCACCCTTTGGTACACAGCAAGGTTAACAATCGAACTTTCCCTCTCTCTCTCTCTCTCTTTCTCTCTCTCTCTCTAGCCGAGCTCGGAGCCATGTGCCCTGGGCTGGGCCCCCCGGGCCCGGGCGGCCCGGGCCCCTGCATTCTGCGGACGCCCGAGGCTTTGCCCACTGCAGCCGTCGTCCGCTGCGCGCTGAGAGCCAGTCAGAGGAGATGGGCGCAGAGGCCGTGAGTTCGAGAGGAGAAGCAAGATGAACTGAGATCTTTTTTCCTCTGCCATCTGCCATCCCTTGAGGAGGGCTCGTCTCAGGCTTTAAGCGGTCTGCTCAGTAGTCCGGCCAAATACCCGGATCCCTCTTGATGCCATGATGACCTCCAAGACTCTCGGACGCTTGGTCAGCGATACGCTCTGCGCCCATGCGCAACCCTTCCCTCAGTGCCTTAGTGTCTCTCAGGGTCAGGCTGACGCCGAACCTCTCGATGGAAGGCCGCCAGCCAATCTCGTGGCTGGTGATTCTCATGGAACCTCACATCGAAAGACTCCGCGCGACTCGAATGGCTTGGGACACAAGCATGTTATACCTCGCCCAGGCCCAGCAGCTGTAGCGCTCCTGCGGCGTGAGCGTCTTGCGCTGCATCAAGGCCTGGGCTGCTGAGGGGCGGCTGCGCGGCTGCGAAGTGGCGACGTGCAGTCCGCGCGAGTCCGCGCGACGGCGACGCAGTGCTGCGGCGCGCCTCGGCACGGTCCAACTTGGCCCGGGCCCGGGTGCCTCACTCAGGGAGGGGATTGAAAGCTGAGGCCAGCGAGGGAACGCATCGCCAGGCGCATCTGCGTCTGCGTCGTTGCACAAGCGCGCGCTGAGCGGAGTGGCCGGTGAAGTACTCCATGGCCTGCGGTGGGGTCTCTTGCTTCTTCCCGCCAACCGGCGCCGCGGCTCTCCTTATCCTTCGGAAGGCTTGGCGTCGAAGAGGAGCGGGTCACCTCGTGGGGCTGTCTCATGTGGCACCGGCATAGCCTCAAACTCAAGCAGGCCTTGCGCGACTCGCCCGCACCCTGATATTATATGCGGACCGCAAGGAGAGAAGAAAGCGCTGACATATGCTGCCACATGCGTGAGATTGAGATCATCCTTAAGTCCTGCCTCAGCTCCGGCAGGCACGGCCGGCACTTGGCCCTTGAGGAATCCCCATTGCCCTTCCCAGTTCGCGGCCGTCCTCCCAAGCGGACAAAATCCGCGCGTCCGCTCCGCTTCCGCTCCGCTTCCGCTCCGCTCCGGGGCTCGCGCTTCATCTCCGTGTCGATGAGCTGCTTCCAAATCTCCATCTGGTGGCACAGGTTCTTCGCCTTCGCCTTCTCCGTCTCCTCAGGACTGGCTGCTTCTGCGTTGAAAAAGAGGCTCTTCCTTTCGCTGTGCCTTCGCTTCCATGGCTCACACAGGCGGACTAAGCCAGGCCCAGCTTCTTCGCCACGTGGGACTCGCGAAAGAACAACCTCTGCAACCTCTGAATTGTGACTCAAACCGAAACACGCTCTCCGTGACTGGTGTACGAGGACCCCCTGCCAGCCAGATTCCTGTCCTACGGGCCAAGGCGGAGGCACATCACAGCTTAGCACGGCTCACTGCAGGTTCCGCACACCCCTTTTTCTGGTCAGCGGCGGACACTTGGATCCACAGCGGAAAAACGGTTAAATGCCCGCAGCCCGGTTTCCAAGCTCCGTAGCCCCACAAATCAAGGCGATGCCTCGTGTGCATTTGCATCACTGGCCCGCGGAAGGCCCCACGGCCTAGGCCTAAGGACGTGCCGACAACTTCCCTTTGTGCTGTCTCAGCTCTCGAATCGGTGCCCGCAAGCGTGGCAGAAACGGGATCCGGTCCTCAGGGGGGAAGGCGGACACCAATTACCCCTCAAATCATCCACCTCGGCTTTTGCAACATCCCTGCAAGTTGTCCTTCTTCGGTTGGTTTTTATCGCAGGACAGTTTGGTCGTGGCCACACGGTGGTGTCCACAGCGTTGTTATCAGGATGTGTGGTCAATAGATCTATAGGCAGAGATGGATAGATGGGAGATGGTGTGCTAGGTGCGCAGCTAGATGGATTGAAGGGCGCTGACAGAAACACACATTCTGCGCAGCGTCGACTGGAAGCTGCTCGGAGGCCCCTCGCCGCGAGGCCCTGGCACGCGTGCTCGCCCGCAACTGGGGCAGCTCTCCTCCTCCAGCGTAACCTCGCAACAGCCACTTTTCCAGACTTTTCAGGACATCTCTCCGATCCGAGGCAGCAGTCGCCACTCGGTGCGAGGGCGAGGCCGTGCGCGAGAGCGAGAGGCTGCGAGAGCTGCACAGGAGGCACGGGTTGCGCAAGGAAGCACCGCATCGCAGACCGCAGCTTAAAACGAGCTGAGAGAGGGCCGGTCCGCTCTCCGGCCTGCGGCTGCCGTCCCGGTAGGGAGAGTCGGCCGTCGCGGCCTTCAGAGCCGCGATGGTCGACACCTGCACCACGCGCCCAGGCCCGGTGGGGGTGCCCTGCAGCGGCAGGGCGGCAGGGCGCTGTGTTGCAGAAACTCTGCAAGGTTGCAAAACCCCAAGAGATGCTTTTGGTCACATCCTGCCCTCCAAATCGTCGAATCGAAGGCCTGTAAGTGGGATTGTTAATTTTCAGACTCGGACACGCAGCAGGGACATAAATCCGTATCTCGGGATTTTGGATGCCTTGGTTACCTGCGTCCATGGCTTTCGCCACAGTCCCGAACGCAGGTGCAGGGCAAGGGGCAAGAGGCGACACCCAGCCACTCCCCTATGCAGGCAAATGCCTCAGAGCTCCCAGTGCCCTTCGGAGGAAACGTTCAGATTCATTCAGACTCATTCAGCACTCACCGCTAAGCAACAGCTGCAATGACATGTGAATCTACAACAAGCAACACGCAAAACGAAAAAAGACAGCGGGCGCAAAACAAAGAGGCACGGATCAGACACCCGAAGTACCCGAGAAAAAACAAAATCACTACACAAAAGAAACAACCTTACATAACGCAAAAGCCCAAGGATAAGCAATAAGGTGAAAGTGAGAACTTAGCCACTCTGAGCGGAGCCTGGATCTACAGCAACTCCTAGTGCAGTTGGCTTCAAGACTCTTTTGCGCACGCGTTCCCTTTCCCTGCTGAGCCTTGGAACGCCGGGTTGGCGAGTCTTCATGGCATGAATACACGGCAGACGACTTTGTTCGTTTAGCACCGGTATTATTTTCTTATGCCTGAAGACTCATCGCCACGCCATATTGGCGTTTTCGCCCTGCATTAAGTCCCCTGGGGCTTTGCTATCCGTCAGTTTCACTGTCGGATCTGACATCCACTCCCTAAAGGAATCTCTAAGGGCTTTTGAGCGCTTTGTAAGCGCATCTGCCCGCTGCTGCTCTGAAGGAACCCAGCGAAGGCCTTTACAGGTCTGACGCAGAGCTGCTACATCCAACTCTACACGCTTCTCCTGAAAGGAGGTTGTCAGCCTGTGAACAGAGTCCCAGAGCGACCTTGCGTCCGTCACCGGGATCACCTCGAAGAGCGGCCGGTCGTTGAGGGTCGAGATGAAGGCGGCATCGCACATTTCGCTGAAAGTCATCGCGAGAAAATGTGCATGATCATGCGTTCGATCGAGAGCTGCCGCTTCGGCCGCCAGGGTGCTTCGCAGGATTCGCTGGTGGCGGTAACTCTTCCACTCCAGTAAAGACGCTGGACGCTCACGGACCTTGGCCTGCTTGTCCGTGGCGGTTATCACTAAGCCGCCTTGTGACTTGCTGCCCGGAGCGTTAGCAAAGCCGGAGTCCCCGTAGGCGATGAAGATGAGCTCCTCCACAGCAATCGACGTGATCTTGATCGATGCCCCGGCCGTCGCGCGGACATACCTCAGCACTGCATTCACCTCCTTGAGATCCGCCACCGTAAGTTGGGACGGAGGCCTCTGTATCAAGCTCACGTCGCTGGCAATGTCACCTCTTGTCGTAGAGGCCAGCCACTGCAGCGATCCGATGCCGGACCTAAACTCCGTGACCAGCTCGGGGTACTTGCTGAGGAGCTCGGCGTCGTCCAGTTTCACCTTGGTGGAGGGGACCTCCTCGACGTAGGACGCCTGGTCGACCGTGATGGAGCCGTCTGGCCACTGTTTGATGCGTCGACCGACGAAGGTGAAGTCCTCGCTGGTCCACGGCGAACCCCAGGTAAATCGGGCCTCAACCTTGTTCAGGACCTCTTCGTAGCCTGGAAGGGCACAACTCAACAGGTCGTCGACGTGCAGGCCCAGTATGGCTACGACCTTGTTGTCCGTGCGGAACAAGAAAAGGCACGGATCGAGGCTGTGGGATTCCCACTGCAGGTCCCGTAGAACTCGCGAGAAATGGTTGTACCATTGTCTCGGGGCATTCGATTGCCCATATACCGGGGCCGACAAGCGATACAGCAAGGTCTTGGCCTTCCATTCCGGAACTGCCTCCTGAGCCAAGGGATCTTGAGGAGGTTTCATGAAGATGGGCTCCGGACGTTCTGAATCAGGATCTCCCTGTAGAAATGCCGACTTCGCATCCGCATTCCAGAGTTTGGCTCGGAACGTTACTGACCACTGCAAGATCAGATGTAAGGATGTGCGTGCCAACACCGGCGCATCCCTGGTCAGCAATGGCAAATGCGGGTCACGGAACCCCGCCACCACGACCCTCGCCTGGCTTTTTGGCCGGTGGGCGTAGGTTTCCATCTGTAGCACACCCTTGAGCGAAGAATCAAGTGGGGTGCCACCGAGCCTTCTTGAAGGTAAACAGGAGAACAGCTTGCCCACTTTTGCCATTCGCTCCACTCCTTGCGCAATGCCTCGATGAAGGGGCCGACCTCATCCTCGGTCATAGATTGCCAATGGACTTCCTTTTTCCTGGCCTGCTGGGCTGCTCGCCGAGCGCCATAGCCGGTGCTACCGTCGCAGCCGTCCTCGTCCGAAGAAGATTCCATGGCTATGACCTTCTCCGCTTCCTGGCCTGCAGCGGTCTGCTCCTTCGTAGGAAACACCTCCCAAAGTGGTGAGAGGACCTTCTCGTTCTGCGGAGGCTCCGAAGGCTGCGAAGTGGTCACGAAGGCGACCTGCTTATTCTTGGGCTTGAAGCCCAGGTTGGTCAGCACCTTCACGGCATCGGGCGGAGCCTCGTCGGCCAGTCTGGTACTGTAGGCAGTGATGACATACCGGTCGCCCACGTACTCCTCAGTACCATGGTAGGCATCCGGGTTAAAGGCGACCAACTTCCTGTAGTTGTCGACATACTTGCCGGACACCCTTTTGCCCTTGATGGAGCGCTTCACATAGCCCTGGGGGTTGGCTGCGTCATAGTCGGCCTCGACCCACAAGCGGCCGCCAACGTGCTCTCCCAGAGCGATGCTCCAGTTCACCGACTCCTTGGAGTTGTGAACATCTTTATGGTACCGACTCCGAATGTTTCGGCCCACGAAAATGCTGCTTGTCTTCCCTCGAAGGCCGTGGCACCTCAAGTAGGCATTGAGGTACTTCGTCAGAAAGCGATGCCTCTCCGTGGCCTTCGTAAGTCCATGCTGCCGGCCATGGCTGTAGTAGCCCATGGTCAACGAGCCGGCTCCAGGGTGGCTGTAAGACAGACAGTCTCGGCTCACGCCTTGAAAGTTGACCACCTGAAGCAGCTGGAGGCAAGTGTCGTGGTCGAAGTCCTTTCGCTTGAGAAGCAACGATGCTAGCGACTCTGACAACTGAGCCTTGTGGTGGCTGGTAGTGAAGGAAGTAGTCGAAGACGAAGAGGCTTTCGGGGCAATGGGCGTCACGCAGACACCTTCCTCGACCTCCGCATCGCCGTAGACGTAGGCAGCCGTCAAGAAGGCCTGCTGCCGATAGATCCCGGGCAGCTCCTCAGGAGAGCCGTCCCAGCCCTGTCGTAGATGTTGTCCTCGAGCGTGTCGCCGCAAGACGTCGAGTCTGTGTGAGGCCGAGGTGTTGTGAGGTTGTAGTGCATACGCTTGGAGTTCATGAGGTTGGGAAGACTGAAGTTGGGCTGAGCATGCGGTTCCTTCGGGG